GTTGGAGAATATAGTTACAATAACTTCAAATATGCACCCTGCACGAAGGTGGGGGGGGTCATAAGCGCCAAAACCAGTGCGTAAATATTATGTAAAAATCCTTCAGACAGTTTTCATTTTATTTCTCTCATAATGAATACCTACCAGGAGCATCTTTTTTGTGCATCATTAAGGATCATTATAACACTTGCTTACTGTGACTTGAAAACTATGCCGAAAAGGGGTTTTCTGGAAAGTTACAGTAAATGGAATGCACATGCGTACATGTATAATGCAATGCGCACATGTCGGCCTTAACTTCTTGCATGGACGGTCTTAGAGTCCGGCTTGGGGTGAAAGGCCTAGTAAAATGTACCGGTCAGAGTTTTAAATAAGCCTTTTCCGAGTTAAATTTGAATAAAACCCGGTACACACTAAAGACACTGTTGCTTTACCTCGTGGTTAGGGGCAAGGTTTGCTTAGTTCAGTACGAGGCCGGCGCCTTGCAACAATGCACTGTTTTCAATGGTCCATTCCAGAGATGGTAGTTGCTGTGCAAAAGCTTGCCCTGAACGCCTGAATGTACATAGCAACAGTGTCTTTAGTTTGGGGAATTCAAATTGTTACATTTATGTGTAATCAGATAACTCAGTGTACTATATTTCAATCAAATTTAAGTCGTAAAAGGCTTATTGACAGCTTTTTTTATAAGGCCTGCTCTGAAACATTTTTTTTCACGAAAACTATTCTTCTGGCACCAAGAAGGTTCACAGATAGCGAATCTGATAATATAGTGGAAATGGTTATAATTTAAATCTAAACCTTCGGCAATGAATCTGGAGTGCCATCACGCTCTTCAGTGGATCTTGACACTGTTTAATTCATATTATGTGTCGATCTCTAACAACTTACAAGAGTTATCATTGAATGAATGGGAAGACTGCATGACTTCCACATGTTTGACTAGGCCTAAGTGACAATCCAGAGCGGCGTGTATGTGCCTTTTTCATGAAGGACATCAGAAGTTGATATCATCCTCACTATTTTGTCAAATGTCTAATTTTCTCGCCCTTTCTTATTTTTCTTTTCTTTTTAATATTATTTTAGAATTAATATCCACTTTGAGCATCAGTATCGGGCTTTGCACGGCGTTTTTGTATTCACCCCTTGACAGTCCGATATCAGAGAGAGTAGCACCATAAAGGGGGGGGGGGAAAGCACAATAAAACTTGTAGTTCTCTGCTACTGAAGCTGAATACAAAACTTGTGTTGAACGAAACATTGCGTGGGTCAAATTGTTGCAAAGCAGAATTTTCACGGGTCATTTCCTACACCTCCTATCCAGCCATGATTTTGTTGTTCGCTTCTTTATCTCACCTCATAAGCTGCACTACCACCAGGTCTGTATTAATTCGTGTTTTCTGGTAAAAAAAAAAAAAGAATGAACGAAACGGACTTACACATCGGATAAAATTGAAACGCCTTTGATGTGAGTCATGGAATGTATCGTGTGACTCAACTTTGAAAAATGTCGTCCATTCATGTGCATTTCCCTAGCTTCCACGGATTAATTTTTTTTCAAACAACACCATAATGTTTACATTTTGTAGGACCAGTACAGTCGAACCTCGTTAATAAGTAAAGATTCTGCTTATAACAAGAACATTTTGAAGTCCTAATCCTTTGTTTTTTTAATTGTTTGAATTTCCCATGATACAAGGTTCCTGTTATAATAGGGTAATTTTCCAGGTCCGAAGGACCTCTTATTAACGACATTCGACTGTACTATATAGTAAATGCTTGGCATTGTTGGAAACATGGTTGGAAACATTTCAAAATTTATCATGTCTGTTTTATAAGGTGAATTATCTGTTGAAAATCCATTGTTGGGAAGGGGAAATACGTCCTTCAGAATGACACAATTATTTTCTCTATAGGCCTACTGTATGTTTTCCTAATTGGTGTTGCAGTTTTCACCCTTTATGGTGACTTTAATGGCGTTGTCAGGGTGACCTCTCCATTAGCTGATCCCATGCAGCCCTGTTTCTAAGCGCGGCAATCTGTTGCGGGAGGAAAAGGCCTAACTGTCATCCCGTCTAGCCATAGGGAAATCAACAACCAGGCGACCTTGGATTCAGGATAGGCCTATCCGGCCAGAGAGGTGAACACGGGCTGGCACAACTGACGAAATATACCGTCGCTTTGGACTTTCTTGGTACTGCGCGTATTGGCCGTAACTTTTCAATATTTCCACATGCGTATGAAAACTCTTTTCTATAAGTACCAAACTAAGCCAATTTTCATTGGACCCCCAGGTGCCGAAAATAGTTACATGCATTTTAGCTGCAAAGCAGTCTACCATGCAAAATATCATGCAATATTTATTTCTTCGACTGATTCTCGGAATTTTGGGGGCAACCACAGGAAAGATTACTGGTTTAAACGTATGATGTGATGATTATGTTCTGTTATCTCGTTCGTGTTGTTTCTATTTGTGTCTAGGGCGTTAGGCCATGCCCGAGTTAGTCTTGGCTGCGGCTTGACATTGAACACGACACTATGACACGTGCGTAAATTCTGGGCGGAGGGTTAGGGGTATATATTCCCCATGTTTTGAGGTGGAGGCTGGGCTAACGGATCAGTCCCACCACTTCTTTGTGATGAGCAAAAAATCGAAGCGGATTGTGAAGACTTTTCAGGATTTCCCAACGACTGAAATGTTTGCAATATCACTAAAAGGGAAAGCCATTTTTAAAAGCCATAAAATACCATTCTGATGCAAGATTCTGCATGAATTTGATAGACATTACATATGTACATCTTTATCATGAACATCGCCCCCTATAAAAATATATGGTGTGCCCCTCTTCAGATTTCTATATCCAGGCAAGTCACCCTCCTTCTCTCTCTACGCTACTGTACTATGGGAAATTGGTACAGCCATTACCATAGACATAGTCTTGTGCGTAATTTCAAGCCACAGCAGCTTCTCGGACTCGAATCCAATTCCAGTGTTAGTGATCCCTTTCGGTAGAAATAGTACTGATAGGGGCCTAGAGAGGTTGGTGATCACCCGTACCACCCCGTCATTGCATGCATTTTAATTGTGTCGACCGAAGCCCATGTGATAGTGTCTATTTGAATCCCGGGAACGTTATCTTGGTTAGCAGGTATAACAACAAAGAAATATTTGAGCTCAGTGAGGCTCTTCATCCGAGTAATTTGACTCTCAGAGGTTTAGTTGTCATGGATTTTTTTAAACAAAGATGATGGGTCAATGTCAGTGGCAGTATAGGCAGAGTGGACTCTGGGGGCAACCGAAGACTCCCACAGGGGCAACTGGTGCTTCAGTCATTGTAGCCTATGGCAGATCAAGGGAAGGGGGACTGATTTCACGGGCCGGGGGGACACTTTTACCGGGGGACAGATTTACCGTCTACACTGGAGGCAGATAGGTCTACAAGAAATGGCACTAGAACACATTTTGACCATCTAGCCAGTAGGCCTATAGTAGACTTATATGATTTCCAACAGGTGTTGATGGAACATGGCCTGTATATTGAAATTGCCTAGAACATCTGATGTGAATAATCCATGTACCTGTACAGCTAACGAGCAGAGAAGGCCGGGTAGACGATACTTAATAGTTTTATTTGGGGGGGGGTTAGATTGTTGGATTGAGAAAATACTATCGCAATGAAACAGCACAGTAAAAGGATTAAAGTTCAGTCATTATTTTCTATAAAATTTTATTTTATTAAATGTAAGTTTCATGCAGGATTAAATGACATTTTCCAAAACACCCATAAAAATTTCCAGAGTAGGGAACACAACATTAATTCTTTAGTGGTTAAAAAGGATAAGCATTTTGAGGAATGTCATTTCAAGGTGGGTAGAATTTGGTTCACTATTTCCTAGGCGGAATGGGACTCAAAATAAGCCGAAGTTGTGTGAATTTACACCACCGTCTGATCCCTTATCGTAAGAAAGTCAAGTACTAGTCTTCACTGAGGAAACAGACAGATGGTCATGACACTCTTTAACAATTTATCGTTGACGCAGAATAATTGCTCAGCAAGCTGCATTCTATGACAGACGCGCATTAACAGATTGGCTGATATGCTGCGTTGCATAAAATGTACATGTACGCATTTATCAGACGTTTGTACCGAGCTTGCACGGAGTAGAACGGGTGACCATCAGACTACATCTTGACGGGGCCCTAGTAAAAACTTCTCGGGTGACACGGGCGGCATATCCACATCCCCGCAGTCAATAATCATTGAAATCTATGGTCGAGTTCGGGTGGCCTGTTCTTGACACGGGTTTCTTGCTCTCGCGCTCGAACGGCGGGGGCACTACCAAAGAACACTGTTCTCGGAACAGTACCACACACCACCTCTTCGTCAGGGTTTTACACGAACACACAGAAAAGCTCGTGAGATTTGATTTTTGAGCAGCCGCAAAAATTATCGAGAGGGCTTACAAAGTCAAAAACAATGGAAAGTTTTGACAAATTAACATTAATAATAATTTTCCCCGACAGAAATGAATTTTTTTTTAAGGAAAAGAAGTTAGCCCAGTTATCCAACATTAACTCTGGAAGAATATACAAGGATGCCGCTATGTTGCATGTTACTTTTGCCACAAAGTAATTATACCAGCAATAAGCGGTTGTACGTTCCCGGCGTTCCAGTGGCCGACTCACGAACAAATCGAGCTGTTCGTGAACAAACGAGAACAAGCCGCCGAACTCGGCCAATGTCTTTAACACTTTTTGTGTAGCGCCCTCAAGAACTAAGAGTGAAGTTTGTTGGTTGGCGGCGCCCTTCAAAACGTAAGAGATAGGCTGCCCGCCCAATTGTCGATCGGAAACCGATTTTTTTATTGAAGTCTTGAAACTTCCAGCCCCCTTTTTGTTGTATTACATTACCAGATTTGAAAAATGAAGACAGAAAATGTATACGGAAGGAGTTGAATACTAACCCCTCCTCAAAAGAAGAAAGAGAAAGATATTAAAATATTTTACAAGGAAGATGTGCGTGCAGTACACACATTTTTAATTATTTCTCCATGGGGGAAATACGGGTAATCTCCTTCACATTATTTGTGTTGACCTCTCAACTACTGATACAAAATACAGGTAGCGAGATGGTGCGCAATCCAGCCAGAGTGGCTTTCTGCATGTAAAGAATAACAATGTTTAGTCTCTGTTTGCTCAAACAGTAACACTAATATTATATACAGTGGCAACCAGCAACACTAGAAATGTACAGTCGGTTCTCGTTGCTCTACTCTGTACAAAAGAAAATTCTGAAAACAAATCAACTCTACGTATGATATGAACCAGCCTTGACAGGTAAAAAGGTAATTTTGGGTGATCTCTTTTTCGGTAAATAATGTGGGATAAATGTGGCATTTTTTGGAAGTAATTCAAATTCTCTTTCGATTTGATTTCAAGCAGGAATATTCTGTATGCAATAATTCACACTTTCACATTGACAGTACAAATAGTGTTTCAATAGATAACTAAAAAAAAAATAAACATCATAAAGGGTGCAGTAGCGATTGCTGAGTATACAGGGACACTTACAATGTGTAATACACAATGTCAGAAAGGGACATCATAACGGGAAACTGGAAATAAAATGTCTTGTACCACCTTTCGACACCTCCATTTTAAATGTGACTATTAAGGTTGAACATCATATACATTCATTATACACTATATACAATATTGTACACGTCTGTATGCAGATGGCTTGTGATCCTATACAGCTAATTTGAAAATACCTCACTAAAATAAAATGACTGTGACAAACATAGTGCAAATGTATCCCAAAAATTCATCCGTGAAACCTAGCCACATTGCTTAAATAAAGATATGAAATAGTTTGTAGTGAAGAGTGTTAAATAATGCTATTTACAGTGCACACTGACTTTCGCATATTTGTTTGGGTAGGTACTTCTCTTCAAGTATGCAGATCTGAGCAATTTGTGTTGTTGAAACGTGCCACACTAACAGCAAAGTTTATTGTGATTATGAAACAAGGATTTCAATTCATGTGTTGGGCAGACTAGACACAGATTACACAACCGTGTACTAGATGGGGAAAATTCTGAATGAACTAGGAGTTATCTGCCCACACATCACTGTACATTAACAGATGTAGACAACCCTTTCTTGACAAAGGTCAAGCATCAGCTTTCATATGAAAGTATTATCTTAATTACAAAATTCATTAAGAATGTTACAAATCTCTTGGATACGTTTCACAAACCGAAGGCTAGGCTAATTACCTTGATGCGTTCTGATCCTGGTTAGACTCATTTTCAAATGGTCAGGGTATATAAAAGCAATTTGTTTTCACAAAAATACTGTGAATGATGTAACTTCTTTCTGAAAAGAACAAACATGACGAGATTATCTACCTAATGTTTGTATCTTTGTGTGATTTTATTTGTAATTTATACAAACCAGCTGCAGATAATAGGTAACACTACGTATGTAATTTGTCTTATTTCCACGAGCAAATAAACAATTGCCCAACAGTGCACACAATCACATCTTTCTGTTGAGCTTCCTGCAAACAAAGTGCACAAGAACAACTACTTCAAATTCTTAAAAAAATAAAATCAAAAACAAAAAAGCCAAACAAAAACTAGGGGCCTATTTTTTTTGCAATTAACTGTATTAAAACAAGTCTTGAACGAATTGTTTATTTATCTTTTATGATTTTTTTGTTGGATTACTTCTTTCTTTTCCATGTTCAAGCCCGTCACTCAGCTCAGGTAAACACTACCTTACAACTTCAAAACTTCTTCAGTACAAAACACAGTATCATTCCATGTTAGCCTATTGCCAACCAATCAGATCTGAAAATGCATGAAAAACTGCGCCACAGTAACAGAAGTTTAACTAGGGTGGAGAACACAATTATGGTGAGAACTTGAATTGTGCTCTGTAACTTTCATCTTAGAATTTACAGATTTTTTGGGGAGAGAAAGAGAGGAAACAAAAAATGGTGATAGCACAAAGTCAAATATTATAATAATTTTTTTTACCGGTTAGGTACTGAAAAGACAGGGAGATGGTATTTACATCACCAATGCATAGCAGAAGCACAACATGTAAAGTTTATGTGACTGGAGAACAAGGGATAAATAAGGGCACTGACGGTGAATGGGTTTTTAATCTAAAATATCAACGTCAAAAGTATGAACATTTATTACATGGAACAAGCAACAAATGTGTTCAATTTGAGCCCGTTTAATTTTTTCATTTTTTTTTTAAGTTTAATTTTTTGTTTGGTGTGTTGTACTTTCCAAATCTTACAGAAAAGTAGCAATTTCTGAAAATTTGGTGTAGTACAAGATCCATGGCATACCACATTTGGCTGTGGCTCTCACATCAGACAAGCTGAAATCGGGAGAAACTGCACCAAGGTGGACTTCATTGCTGCCAGCCTCACCTCTTTGCCAGTCGTAAAACAATTGAGCTCCGATGTCTGTCCGGCGATACAACTGTCCACTCTGGGTCATTGGGGTCATCTATTTCTTCTGGCTCTGACGAGGAGTCGTCTAGCATCTCTCCAAGGGGACTGCTGCGCAAAGATTCTCCTTCCGTCTTCATGTTATTCAGCAGATTTGTTGCCGAGGACACTTCTGAAGGTGTTTTCTCCTCTGCCTCTGGTCCACTCTTCATCTCTGTCTCCTCTTCTGCTTCTCTTTTCGACTTCAAACCCAATTCCTCGCAATCATCTTCATCCAAGGGGAAGTTGCGCTCAGGCCAAGGGTTGTCAATGTGGCCCAGTGCTTCAAAGCTGCCCGCCAGCGAGCTCTCCAGGTTTGTGTCACTTGCGCTGGATGACCGACGCTTTTCCCATGAGTTCATTCTGGACCGCTGGGTACTGCTTCCCCCACTATTGCTGCTGGCAGGGACCCCGCCAGAAGGGCTCAAGGCCTCCTGCGTGGTGAGCGGGGATGGGGCGTTGGAGGAATTCACGCTGGAAGGTTGATTTTGCTCGAACAGGTTGGCATCTGGCGAGTAAGGCTCTGGTGTGTTACCCTGGCTGTTGTTTCGGGATCGACGTGCCCCTCTGCGTTGATTGGCATGGGAGTTCTGACTTGCCAGTATAGTCAGGAATTTCTGGCGCTCGTTGATTTCGCACTTGGCATGGCGTTCCGTGAACTCACTGTCTGACAAGTTCTCAATATCCTACAGATATGAACACAAAGAATCCAACATCAATTTTAAAATTCAACTGTACACGGAGAACAAGAAACACCCTAAGTATTCAACTTCCTGTCAATGCATTTACAGCTGAATACATTCAATATATGTGTGGTTCTCTATTACAGCTGAAATGATTTCTTTTGATTCTACTGGACTTGGGACAGTGAGTCCTGCAAATAATGTGGCACTAAAATTACTGCAGTTAAAAATTCTGTAGTCAGGAAAACTCAAAGCAGAAAGGTCCAGGGAGTTGTGCAATGAGCAATGACTTCTGAAGTGAAGCGACTGGTAAATCAGTTTGGCGTATTACCACGTATGGGCATAGTGACCTTTCCTACAGATACAGCATATTTGTTTGAATTCAGCTTTAAATATCTCAAGCTGGCAACGATGAATTTTAAATCCCATCGGCACAAACATGTTTTAGAGCTTCTAGTTAATGTCTGCAGTCATTTTTTTTGCACAGCCAAATAATTGTAACAGAAATTTTCCATTAGCGTTTCTTGTTCCATATGCTGCAGCGTTTCAGAAAAGCACCCTGCAACATGGAAACACCCATACAATCCGTTGCAGGCAGCTAGAACAAGCCTTGTGATTGGTCAGATTGTGCTAGATTTGTGACGTAATAGGCTGTCCAAATATGGTAATAATCCAGACTGTAAATGACAGGCTGAAAGTCCCAAGGCGTCCAGGTCAAAGACAACCTGAAGACAATGAAACAGCACAACACTGAAGATCCTCATGGAATGATGTCACCATCATGTGTTAACTAAACGCAGGACGGGAAATATTTCCAGTCACTGGTAAGCAGCCAGACGACAGTCTTCAAAGAGTCATTAAACACAAGCTGGCCAACGAGTACAACGTTGCTCGATACACCAAAATCAACAATGTTCTTTGTGCAATGAGATGAATGAGTCATTTTCCAGCAGAAGTGTAGCCACGCACACGAAAAGTAAAAGCTAACAGACAGGGTTGGTTTTGTCAGTTTCCCAATCCAAAGTGCTTGGTGGTGAGTCATCCGGCACGGCACTGTGGTAGCAGGAATATCAGATTTTGACGTCAAGCACTGCAAAAACTGAAAATTTTCAACAGATCCCTTTTTACAGCTTGCCTGCCTATATATTTATGCTAGTTCTATTGAAGACAGCATCGCAGCGTATACACAAAATATGAAATTTGCTACTTTATGGGAAAAACAGACAGAAAAAAAATAACCAACCTCTACTTTCACAGTTGCTGAAATATCCCGACTAACAGGATGCTCCCAATAGGCCTCTGTCATATTTCCTAATACTTATAAGGGCAGCCTGAGTTTGCAGAAATATCAGCCTTGATTGATGCCAAACTTTTTATTCAGCATTAGTAGTAGAACTCATTAATTGCTGACAGTGTTTCATAGCTGAGAGAGATTTTTTAAAACAGCCAGTCCTAGCTTACTAGCCACTAGTAGGTAGAAATACTGACTGTGACTATTTAGACAGGTCTATGCATGTGCCAACAGAGATGCTTAAGAATCATCAATCACATCAGCCTTTAGATTTTTAGAAGAACATCTTTAGCTAACGGTCTTACCTCCTGATTGCTGAACTCTTGCACGTGATTCTTCCAAGCTGTCAGCTGTTCCTCTGGGATCTTCCTCCACTTTGGCGTCATAATCTCCTTGTACTCCAACTTCTCCACCCGTGTGGAGGCCAACATCGAGTACGGGATCACAATGTTGTCAATGTCGTACTGGTCTGAGCTGCCGCCGGGCCTGCGGGGCTTGAGAAAGTTCTGCAGCGACGCAGAGGGCATGGAGTGTGACAACTGTGCAGATGACAAGCTGCCGTCTGGGGCGGTCGGGGTGCTGGGGGAGCTGGACAGGCTACTAATCTGTAAGTGGTCCTTGATGTTGGGCAGGGAGAGGCTGCGAGCCCGTGTCTTCTTGAGAGCAGCTGCACAAGGGGACATTACATGTTATGAAACACATTTACATCACTGTGCATACAGCCTCAATCCTCCAAAATCCTCCAAAATCTGGTGGGTTATTCAACCTCAATCCTCCAAAATCCTCAAGTGCTCATTCGCAAAACACCCTCAATCCTCCAATATTTCACACTTCATGCAACCTCTATCCCCCCAAATCCTCCAAAATCACCTGGAAGATTTTGGATGATTGAGGATGGTTACGGTTAATCTTTTTAGGGGGGAGGTAATACATAAGTAATACAATGTATAGGTAGCCCAGCAATCTCAGGTTTCCTTCCTGGGTTAAGTCAACAGTCTTAAACCTCAGAAACCAGAGTTGTGTTTTCCACTTTCAAATACCTCTGGCTGTCCAGGAAGTGCCGAGGACACTGTGGTTTCACCCACAACAACCACATAAAGGCATTTCTAATGCTCCACGGAGAGCAAAGTTAAACCCAATGCTTAAATGGCATACAATGTATTTGTCTATGGTGCTCACAGGTCAATGTAAAAACCTGCTCAAATCCTTGCCTTCTTCTCCAAGGCAGTAAAGTCTACTGTTGCATGTTTCAAATGCCTTAACCCTAACCCCAACGACTTTCGTACTAAAACAGTGCTGAACCAGAGTTCAACAGATACAGCTTGCACCCGCATGAGGGCCACTGCAATTACTGGCACGTGACTGGACACAATCTGGTAAACTCCAAGAGGTAAACCTAATTAAACCGTTTGTAGCTCTGTAATTAAACACAGTCTCAACACATGGTACCAAGAGCCAGTCACTCTATGGAGCAACCACTGTGTCTCTAAACAAAAATCCCAAACCAATACCTACCCCCAAACATTTGTTTCTCAATCCAACAAAGCTGCACAACAAGTTCATGATGTATGGTGTACTGCATCAGCCAAAACTTGACAAAAACCTGCCCTTACAGTTTAAGGGACTTGGGGTAGTTAGGGTTAACAACATACCAATAGCCAGCTGGGCAGCTCTTCTTTTCTTGATATCAGTGCGGCATCGCCTATTGATTTCTTCTGTCAGCCGCTTCTTAGGGGTGTTGGGGAGGGAGCTAGCCTTGGAGTTGGCCCGCTTCAGAATCTTGTCTCCTCTGCCGTGCCTCATGTCTTTCATTGCTTCGAAGAAAAATACAAGTTCGTTGCGCCCATCAGACAAGCATGATACACATAAGGGCAAAGTACACATACCGCTGCTGAAGAGTACACATTCACTTCCATCAAAAATATGAAGAGAAGTTTTCAATATTAACCACACCTCCCTTCGGGAGGTGGGGTTAATATTGAAAACCTTCCATATCCTTGCAAATCTCAACACCAAATAGTACCCTGTGCACATTATCAGACTGTTTATTTGTGGTATGCCTAATCCAATATAAAACACAGCTAGTGTACTAGTGCTGTACTCATCCTAACAGATTCTGACAAACCCTGGTGGAGTTTGGTAGGTTCGGGATCGTTAGGATTAAGAAAGGCATATATGATTGCTACTTCTTTCTGCGAATGAATTTTGTTTTCTACTTTTGCCCAGGACATACATTTTACAGCGACAAATATCAATGTCATGCTCTGAATAGACTAGTCTGTGGGAAATGAACCACGAAACAGTGTGTTTAAGTCAGTGGGCTCATGAATAACCTTCCTGAAAGAAAATGGCGACATGAGCTTTTTAAAGAATGTGACATGATTTTGCACTTGAACAGAGAAAAAACACTCAGGGTTTGTCACGAAGTTTTCAATGATATTAGGGCAATTTTCTGCCAACTTGCATTAGGGAAGTTGCACAACTGCTAGAACGCCACACACTTAAAAATACAAGGTGGTACACCTTATAATATCAACTTCCAAATTCTCACTTAAATACCAAACTAGGACATAAACAATTTGAAGGAACATACTCTGGGCAGCCAGTTTGCGAAGCATTTTGAGAGACTTGTCTTCGCCAGAGCTTTGGTGTCGTTTGGTCTTGTCTTTATTCTTCCGCTCGTACTTCCTCTTTGGCCTCTGTCCATCCTTGTTTTCTGGAGGCGTACTGGGTCGGCGTTTCCTGCAAAGCCGTGTAGAAATACATAAGAATCTTTTTATAGTGCCACAGAAAATTCCTTAATCACACCTGTGCACAAGTATCTTCCACCCATTGCATCAGATGGCTTCATTCATTTTACCGATTTAATCATCAATGGTATAAATTTGTATACAAAGCATTGGCCCTTAACCCTCCAATGCTGAAGTCACTCTTTGGGTCATTTGGTGAACACCTAAAAGAAGCACAGCTGTGTTGTGTTGTGCACTGCACC